CTTTCTTCTATTGGCAGAAAGGAACTTTGACACACAATTAAAAAGTTCCCATACAAGTGGAGTCAATACTGTTCCACAAAATAGACGTGTTTATTCTTCCTGCTCCTATTAATTTCTGCAGCAAAATCTACACCGAAAGATCACTCCCCTGAAAAAGTGCTCATGTATGAGTTCACCCTAACTAGTACAAGTTTGCACACAACTGCTACAGAAGACTTTTATACTATACCCTGGCTCATGGGTGGCCACCACAGATCTCACTCTTTTCTAATAAGCTTTTACTCAAAGTAAATTGCTTATAGATTAGATTGAGGAGTCAATGGTTTTAGTCATTTAGCAGAGAGATTAGATGCCTGTCAATTTTAACCCATCCCACTTCAACTGAGAGATAATTTCTTGCTTATCTGATAGACAGTTTATGATATACCTAAATGGCGATCACAAAAGCTTCTTCTCCCAACCAGCATTAGTTTGCAGAATTGTTTCTGTCCATCTAGTAGAGAACAAGTATCCACAGACTCCCACCCGTTCAGCTAGCAAGTGCTTACCATAGGTCTGCTGGTGAATTATTTCGGTTGATAGCTAAACCAAGAATGGAAAATATTTTGATTTCAAAGAGCCCAAATTAAACAGTTTCATTTCCAAGATAACCGGTTCTTTCACTTTTACATAAATTTCTAAACAAATCTGTTTTTTCAAAACAGCAAAACTTTTGGTTTTGAAAAATTTGAAGTTAAATTCAGAGCTATTTGAAATTTTCTTCCTTTTATCCAATATTACAAACAGTTTTGTTCACTCTAAAATTGTAATAATGTATCCTCTGACTTTAAATTGATACATGCTGCCAGAAAACAGAATAGTTAATCTGGGCCTGCTGCCAGCAATCCATAGCTGCAATACCTGTACCATAAGTAAATTTTTCTATGGTGGGTAATCCGTTACTTTTCACTAGCGCTTAATCCACCTTAAGCTCTTAAGAGATATGTAACCAGATAAATAATTTATATTTAAAAATCATATTAAAATGTTGCTTGCACTTATGCAACATTAACACATACACCAAGAGAACTCTTTCATACCAAAATGTTAATTTACAGACCAGTATATCTGTAGCTACACAGGGCTATTGATTCCCACTGCTATTTCATCTGTGAAACATGTCTTAATTGTATAGAAGAAAATTTTTGAAAGATCTAAAATTTAACAGAAAATGTCTTGTGGATTGTAATAATCATTTTACAGTACTTTATAAGGTTTAAGTAAAGGCTTAGGTGATCAGGATTTAAAAATATGGAAGTTGTGTTGTATTTGTATTTGCAACATTTTTTAAAACCGGTTTTACCAGCTCAAACAAAAACTATAAATCTACATTTAGTCAGTTTTCTGAAGACAATACTGAAATGACAATAACTAAAAACAGAATGATAGCTACCTGGCACTTTCATATTGTTTCACAGTCAGTAAGGTATCCTCAATTGTTTTATTCACCAGCGTGTTCACACTGGCAATAAAAAAGTTAATAGCCCCAAGAAGGGTCTCTCCATTTTTAGCTAGAAGTTTCTGAGTGTCTGCGTTGTATCCAAACTCCTCCTATAACAAAAGCAAAAAAAATGCTGTAGATCACTGAAATAAATTTAAACCAGGCACTGATTCACAAACATGTAAGAAAACAAACATTTATCAGTGACAGGGAAGATCATGTAAGTCATTTCATCACTTCTCTTGAATGTGTGCAGGTTTAAACAAATGTGACTATAATCTAGAGAACAAGCTAAGTTAACACGAGAAAGAATCACAACAAAAATTAAGTCAGCAAAAATGGCCCCACAATTCTGCTCTCAGTTATTCCCATGAAATCCCACTAACTAATGTCAGCAGATTATGATCCAAAGCTTTGTAAAATACCAGATGTTTGGTACTAATTCTATTTTGTGATCTTACGAGTTATGGAACTTGGCTAAACACTGTATCGGGTGTCTTTCACATAGCTGCTGGGTACCAATACTAAGTACTAAGTACTTTAGTACTAAGACAGACATCAGCAAAAAAGGGTAGTATACATATAGAGAGGCAAGTAGTATTAATTAGCAAACAAATTTATTTTTACATTACATTCTGGAACAACAGGTTGGACAAATGCCAACATCTTTTTCATTTAAAAAAAGCTGCACATAATTAAGAAAGCAGAATGTGCTGTAATAATAGATGAGTTGATGTTTTAAGGGGCCAAATTGTTGCCAAAGAGCACTGAAATCAAGTTTAGATATTAAATAAAAGACTAGCATAAATGTATTCAACAGCAAAAGCATTCAACAGCAGTGATTTTTTCCAGTGTATGGATACTACACAACAGTCTCACTGATATACTTATATCATCCATATGGCATTTTCATTTTCTGCAGATTAAGCTTTATTAAAAAAGTAGGATTTCGAGCCATCACTGCTGTGGAGATACACTAGTTCACACATGGAACTTTAACTAATACAGAGTTTTCTTTCAGAGTCCAAAGATAACTGGCAACTGGTGCTGAAGTGTGAACTCTTCCAACTCCATTTAATCCAACTGGAATATTACTGGTTTTAGAGTTTACATTTCATGTTAATATTAACTGTTTGACCGCTGGTCATTCTGGTGGACTGAGTGGTGAGTGTGAAACCAAACAGGAAGAAGATGCACAGGAAGTTAAGAAAGAAGAAATACTGAAGAAGAATAGACAGGATGTTGGGAGAAATAAATTAAGGTTATAAGCTATGGAGACAAATTTGCCATGTCAGACAGGAGGGATTTCAAGCATATCATATTGCTTTATGCAGGCTTCCTAACCCACAAGCAGTGCAGTTCTTGTAGTACCACTAGTGCACTACTGAGCATAGGCAGGCTAATTGACAGTGTCACTCAGCAATGAAAATTAACATTTCCAAACTGCAGCACTCACTGCTTCTGGTTTAGGAGGCAACCCATTTGAACAGTGCAGCACACTTATGGATGATGCTGTCTGAAGCAGCAAGTTTGCTGTGTAGACAGGACATATATTAAGAAATAGCAATGGAACCAGAAGGGTATACTAACAACTAAACTCAGTACCTTATTCTAACTAAGACTTTAATTACTACAGAGGGGACATGTTCTACCCATGATCTTTGTGTTTCTCTCTTATGAACACTGGCAAGTCTCCTCTGGATTGAGATTATTTACAAAAACATATAAATTCATACATGCACACATATATGATAATTTCAGCTCTTTATATGTAAATGATTTGACATGCCTATTCAAGTAGTACGGCTTTAAAGATACTGTACATACAAGAGATGTCTTTGAACTCAAACAACACAACAGAGCTCTAGGTAACTAGTATTGTGCTTCTGAAGAACTCAGTTTATTAGAGCTATGTCACTCTTGAATTTTCACCTGCTAGTTTGTTGCTGCTTGAGGTTTAAAAATCTAAAAAGTTACTGTTTAGAACTGATTTTTACTTTTCTCCAGAACTTGTAAGGAAGTAAACAAAGCTATCCAAAGAAGTCAGGTTTAGACATCAGTAAAGCCCAATTAAAAACAGGCAAGCACAATGAGGAAACCGACAAACAGGCACCTCTCTAGGAGGCATAGGTGTTACAGAATTTTTATTAGTAGCAGAAACCTTTGCTTTTTTTCTTAAATGAACAGAGTCCTCTTCAATAATCTACACCAGAGATGACAGATTGAAACTGAAACAGTGAAAGATTCCAAGAATGGTACAAGAAGCTGGTAGAATCTGGAGAAATGTTGTTCCCAAGTACAAGAGTTATAAGACTTTTAGGAGAATGAATGTGTTCAAAATGAATACTATTCCAGGATCAAAATTAGTGCAAGTTTCAGAAATAAATGCAACTCTAGCACATACTGCACTACATTCATCTTGCTTTCTACCACAATCCACATGCCCCATATTTGCATCAACAGTAAACAGATTGGTAAAAACATATTGCACTTTTTTGGCAACATTTATATGTTTTTTTGTTGTTAGAAGTGTTGAAATATTAATTTGCCAAAACACGACATTAAAAAGAACAAGTCCCCCCTAGAATGTGAAAAATGTAGGGTAATGAGTTCTTCTAAGAAGCTAACAGTTATTTAGTGTACACATTAAATAAAAGTAATTAAGTGGGAATACAGTGATCACAAAGGAGGAGGAAGCAGAAGGGCAACAACCTCAGAATTTAATTGAGGGTGCTGCAATACTACATTTTTGGGAGTCCGCCTATACAATGCTAACATATGGGCAATGACTTTAGATCCTAAGCTTGGTGGCAGGAGGGAACTGTTCTAGATACAGGAAGTAGCAAGATCTGTGAGGAGACAATCCAGCCATACAGCTGTAATATCTAGCTTCTCCCTCTTTATAACACATAGGATTGTATAATCACTTATAGCTGAGATGCCAGAGTTATATAAAAATCCTAGAATAAGGAATCCTTCCAAACCTAAAATGTTAGCTATCTAAGGAATCATGCTTAAGTTGCTTGCTTGGAATCTGAACTCCATAAAAGGAGCAGTTTATTACATGCAGGTTGCAAGGCTTGGTGAAACAACTGAGTGGAGCAACACTTTATTCTCCCAAGGAAAAATGATTCACTTATATTCAACAGTGACTTCACCTCTGTTGTATGAGGCCTGTTCTACCCTACTCCAAGCCATATACCCCTTAGGTAACTGCAGTTTACAGTAAGTGATTTAGAACAATTTTGATGACATCTTATTAATGACAAATTGAAGTGCCATATGTATTTAATGCACAAAGGAATGTGGTTTGTTAGCAGTTCCTGAAATCTAAATTCCAATTCATTTCAGACATTTAAAAAAAATGCTCAACAACATTAAGTGCTCAACAACCTTAGTATGATTTCAGTGGTTTCCTGTAGAGTCTCAAGTGAATTGTATAGCTTTTTTAAAGCAAGTTCAGTATTACAGACCTTAATGCTTAAGTCAACAGCTGTTATCTATATAGTGCAGCATGCACCAGTTGGTCAAGTTTAACCTCATCTCCATCCTTTAAGTCATTTTATTTGCTAATACTATAAAAGTCTTACATGGAGTTCCAATGATTTCAAACTCAGGTCTGCAAATGCATCTCCAAGTTGCCTTTGGGTATGTACCATCTGGTAGAGCTGTGTGGACAAAGTCTGTGCCAGTTTCAAGATATTTTCATACTTTTTTTTGTTATCCCTTAGTATTTCTATTTGGGCTTCCAGTTCCAGGTCTACTGTTCTTGAGCCACGTCCCAACTTTTCCGAGATGATCTGACGAGTACACTGCAAATTCATAACAAATACCTTAAATTATAAAGAACTCAAAAATGTATATTCAAGATAAAAAACGTATACCCATTCTTGGCTTCAAGGAGCATGTAATTAGCAAGCACCTCTTTCACAACAACCCCTCCCAACTTAAGTTTGCACAACAAACTGAAGAAACATCTCAGGCTCTGCAGAGGTTTATCAGGACTCAGCAAGAACAGCTGGACAAGTCTCAACTTCTACCAATACAAATATTTAACAAATCAAGAGCAGAACTAATTGTTCTGAATGACAGATCAAGTGACTTCTTAGGGCTGGTGAGTCTCATTAAGTAAAAACAACTATTATCCTGTTCAATAAATGCAAATCAGTATGCTGACTTTATTAAAAACAACAGTTACTGATTTTATGTTAAGTATCTACAAAACAGTCATTCCATCTTCGGCTACCAATACCCAAGCCCATAGGTATTGCCCACTTCATCCCACATTAGCCTTACTGGATACTGAGGGGCTCAAGAAGTTGCTATATTTCACCACATGTTTAGAACCATAGTATTTCAAATAAAAAAAAACCTACCACAAACTAACCAAATCTACCATAATTGGATAATTTTACTTATTTTTGCATTTTTTAAAGCCAATTGGCAACTTTTTGCTGAGAAATATACAAAATATCTTGAAATTGCACCTGATTGCATCAGATTACAGAAAAACACTGGTGAGAGCACAGAATACTAGAAATGCTCAAACTTCAAGAGTTGCATACTGGCACAGGACTAAGCCCCCGATCTGATTTGCAGCCCATTAATGTAATAAGCAGCAAATGTAGCACTTGGAACAACAAAAGGATACCCAACAGTAAAATGAAATGCCCTGTTTATTGAAGTTTCACCATTTTCACCATTTTAAAGTGAAATTTAAAGTAATTTTAAGTCTGTAGCCCAGAGGGAAAAGGACTTTTTAAAAGGGCAAACAGAATGGAATTACATGCATGGAAGCGTGAGTTTGCCATTAAAAGAGTCACGAAGTGCAGACAGTCAAAATATCCAAGGCTGATTTGATTCAGGCTTTCCAGGTTAGTTTAAGCTGCATAGATTGAACCAATAAGGAAGTGAACCGACATTTTTCTATGATTCTGGAAATGCAAACACATGGCTTCAATGGCCCAGGGCAGAAGCCGGGGAGGAGGGGACAGGGAGACACTACAGCACACCTCCCTGCTCAGCTGGAGCTGATACTGTGGGCCAGGACTAGCCCATCCACCCTGTAAGGTGGGGTCTGTGGGGGAGGTGCAAAGCATCCTGGGATTCTGGGGGACTGAGTTAACTTGAATCTGGAAGTGATCTGGGGACAGAAGGTCAATAAACTGATTCAAGCTAAATTAGTTAAGTCTGATCCTACATCTATCCAGGTTTATTTTAAACTGGCTTTGGCCATTTTAGAAGTTGTTTATGCGCAGTGAACTTCTGTTGTGTTACAGATTTGAACCAGTTTCTGATCACTTACACCAGTTTATGCACAATTTCTGTCCCTAGTCAAAAAGAACAATATGGTCAAATTTACAACTATACTGACAGAAGTAAGATCTGATAACAGTAGTGTAGTCTTATGGAATAAATGGCTCCATATCCTATTTTAAACCATATTCATAAAATGTATAAAACTAATGGACTTTCACGATTAAGACAGATTTGCAAAGTATTCGCTGTGTGATCTAGCTGATATGGTAAGATTAGCATTTTGGGTCTCTGCTAAAGAGAACATATCCATCTTTCAGACTCTCAGGAATTCCCACTAAGTTTATACTCTTATGCCAGAGCGGTATTTCTATTATTGTCAACTTAGATGGAGAAGTCTAGGCAAATGGTGGATAATCTTGGGAGTACAAAATCAGTGGAGTATAGGTAGATTCAGTCCATGGATTATTATTAAAATAAGCCAGCCAGGGAAGAATTTTCAGTTAGAAGATAAAGTCAATATGCTCCCATTTCTGAGACAGTACAGGAGAAAAAAAATGCTCAAAAAGCATGACGTTACCACAAAGCCCGTAAAAGGAAATGCAACAGTTTAACTAGAATGTGAGGCAGAGTGTGAATAATGCTTCACTAGGAGCTTGGTACAAGTGAGGATGAGCTCTGGCTATTTTCCAGAGATGGTGATATGCAATCACACAAACAAGGGACCTGAAAGAGGAAATCTGAGTCAGTGTTGACAAGATTTTGGGAGTGAGTGTAAGTTACAAGCTAACGAGATTTGTCAAGCCTGACAAAAGGCTTTTATTTTAAAATCAAGGCGGACTTTGAAGCATTTATTTGCAGGAACATAGTTTATCAAGAAACTAAGAGGCAACATTCACAAGTTAGAAAAAGGAATCGAAAAGTAAGCTGAGGTTTGAATAAGAGTAGTGCCTGAAGTTTAAGATACCCATCTCCTAACCTGAGCTTTCCCTAGGGTATAAACTGTATACAAAAAAGGTTAAAAAGGGAACCTTGAGAAATCTTCTCATTGTATTTCTCCTCGTCTCAAGTGGGTTAGGCACAAACGTGTGGGCTACACTGACCAGTGAACGGAGACCAGAAATTATAGTATTTTCAAGTTCAGGTACCACCTATAAAATAGAAATCTAAGAAATCTGTTTGAAGTTGTGAAAAAAGCTACATGGTTTAGTGAGAAAAAACAAGCCAGAACTAAAACCATGCCATCTTTTATATATAAAAGGATAAAGGAGCACACCAATGGTGAAAATGAGTTTTTCTTAGCATTTCTCAGAAACAAGCCAACATTTCAGACTACTTTAGAAAGTGGATACTCACCTTCAGTGAGTTCATAGGGTATTTAGTCCCATGGATTAGTCTGTACTGCCTGTTTGAACCTCCTATCTCGAATAGAAGTGCATCTCAACTACAAGGATTCCTAGCTTCTTTCAAGTGAGCTGGCTTAGCCCTGATTTTAGTGCAGGAGAGGCTCCAGAGGAAGCAAGAACCCCACAAACCTGAAAGTGAATCTGATTCACTGAAAGCAGCTGAAAATGGTTTTCAAAAATAGGGAAGTTCTTAAGAGGTAAATTTCATAGAAATAAGTACAAGGCGTCAAGTGAGGCAAGCAGGGGACTTAAGCCAGATTTATTTCTGTATAGTCTTCTTTCAAAGGGCACCGGGTAGAGTACAAATTTATTCTACTTTTGTATATATCTAAAACCAAAAGAGCAGATTAAATATCTCTAGCTGTGTCTTCCCTAGGGAACCTATTTTTTAACAGTTTCAAGTCTAGAACTGGACTATTCAAAATGAACAGCAGCTGTTAACATCAAAGAAAACCAGACCACTCAGATGATGCAAAACGCTAGCCTGCAGTCTAGATACCAAATAATAAACCTTTTGTCTGCAATATCCTCTTGTAGGTATAGAAAATAAGGTGTTCATTTTTGTCCAGTGACTCGCAATTGGTTTCTTGCATTTAAGATTCTCTCTCCCTCTCTAGGTACCATATCCAAACAGGACACTGCTCTACTGATCTCTTCTCTTTGGTTCAGCTCAAATTTCTCTATTTTATCTACTTTTCTGATACCTTCTCCCTAATTTGCCTCCACTACTTAATCTTGGTATAACCTGTAATGGCAAACTGTCTGAAAGTCTTCCTTCACCACCTCTGCAGCACTCCATCAACACCACCTTTGCTGCAACTGCACACATGATTTCACCTACTCACCTTTGATTTGCAACTCCCTTCCCTAAGGCGTACCCCTTAGTCCCAGCTCTACAGATTTTTGGATGTGAAGACTGCTTCTTCCCTCCTTTTCACATGTACAAACAAACTTAACTACAATCACACAATTCTCAGTACTCCATTTATTCTCCATTCAAAAGATATGGACAAATGCACACTTGGAGCACCTTCTGAAGTAGAGGAGGATCCACTGCTTGGGAGTATGAAGCAGCTGCTAGGCCCCCTTCAGAAATGGTCTGTTCAAGTTATTAACTATAAATCATGCCTTTTTAACCTGCTCTGATAAGCTTATTTCTAATGAACCCAGAACAATTGACACCTTTTTTTTGGTAGCGCTACTAAATTTGAGAGGCCACATATACAAAGCCCCCTGGATGGAATGTGAGAGTTGCCACATAAGGCACACTTCACAACTGGGGGGAATAGGAGCCTGCACCAGATCTTTAAAGGGTGTGCAGGCAGCCCAGTAAATGAGCAAATGAGCAGCTCCCCAAGCTAGGCCACCCAGGCACCTTTAAAGGTCCCAGTGTCTGGAGCAGCACCAATCTAGCAGGGAAGGTAGGGTGGGGGGCATCAGGAGGGGAAGCTAGCAGGATTGTCTGCCCCTGCCTAGTTTAATCTGTGTCACTATAATTTGATACTATAATTTCTATTATTAACTCAAGGTCTTCCAGATATCCATAGCAAAAGTTTTGTCAGATAATTCCATTTGCTGTATATCTTAGACAAAGAATGGGCTGTTTAAAAAAAAAAAATCACCAAACAGGACCCTTGATTAAATCATCTATTTGAAATCTTGTTTATAGTTCTAAATGTTAGTTATTTCCTAAAAGACCCTTACTAGCCAACAAGTATCAGCCTATCAAAAAAATTTTATTTACAATAAGATACTATCTTTACTTAAATCCGGTATGTTTCTAATTAGGAGGGTCACTATGTCGACTTATCCTTACACGTATCCAGAGACAGATATTCACCACTTCATTCAAATTCTAAATTTTTACATGTTATGGTACAAAATCGAAAATGACATTAACTTACTAAATGATGACTGATTCTGTTGTACATGTCAAGCTCTGATGGAAGGAAGTTAATGTTAAAATGCACAAAACATTTAAAAATGTTTATCAGTGAACTAAAACTAGCTTAGTTCTTCTGGGTTCATAAGAAGTCAAGTTTATCAAGGCAGGTTACAAAGGCATGATCTATGGTGAATAACTTGAACAGACCATTTCTAGCCTGCCCTTTATCACACTAGAATTACTAATCTTACCTTATCAGTAGGGA